TTTTAGAGATTTAATTAGCACCCAACAGCTGCTTCTGAGCATCCTGTAAACAGCATTTAATTGCTAACAGAATGCACATCTGACAGCTGCATTAATCTTTCATTTATTCTCTATCATGCCACAGGTAGGGGTGATAAAGAGAAGTTTGCCAGGTCTCCTTAGAGGATTTGTGGAACCAGCTCCCAGTTAAGTTTGGGGTGTAGACACCATCTTACTTTACAGATTAGTCTTAAACTTTCCTTTTAGATAAACTATTAGACAAGTATTACTAAATACTAAATAGTAGAATTAAATATTTGGGTTGGCCCATATGCCCTTGAACCACCCTCAGTTATGCTGCGAGTGGCTCTGGACCTCTTGTGTTTTGCTGTGCAACTAGCCTCTGGTCACTTTCCCTCCATATGCACTTACATATCAACACCTTCTCCCTCCAGCGGTGTCTATGGTTCCCAAGATGCACAGTCCCTGTCTGGCTTCACTGGTCCATCAACCAGCCAACTATGTCACTTGTGTGTTGTTTGTCATCTCTGTGCTAACCTTCTCTGTCTATACTTCCCCCTTACTCCCCAACAGGACTTGGCAGACACCTAGCATCCCCCAGAGACTGTGAAAGGGTCCACAAAGTGCTTGCTCACAGGGTGAAACAGTACAGGGTCTCTACCTTACAGTATAAAGCAGTCTAATATGAAACTGAAAAGCATATTCTGCTTTGGTTGGCTTACCTCATCAGCAAGCTGATCATCTGGATCGTAGTCCTTCATGTCAATCACCTCGGCTGGTAAACCCAAAGACTTCACCTCCTCTGACAGCTCGTTCGCAAAGCCCTGAACATATGGAGAGTCTCAGATGGTGCTTTTAAGATGTCAGTAAATACTAAATTACCACGTGCTGAGTACTTTTCAAAATACTATCGATTTAAATTTGAGTTGCGTTTAATGTGCTGGATTACATGTGTGTAAAATTTAGTGCTCAGAGTTTTTGACTCAGGAACTGATTGATGAAATTTAGCTTAGCATTGCTTTATGCAACAAAAAGCTTTACTGCCACTGTGCTTTGTGAGATGAGGAGTGCTACTGATGCATTAAAATGCAGTAACTTTACCACGCTAGAGTAAAAATATGCACAAGGGTAATGAATTGTTATTGCAGACTGTGAAAGTTTCACATGAGCCTTGATACAGAAACTGTTAATCAGTGTAGTGATTCAGGTTGTCAATGATCTGTAGAGTAATTATAATTACTAGTATTACTATTTTGTTTTATTTTTAAAAGGGTAAAGGGGTTTGCATGCTTTGCTTATGTCAGTGGCACGCTGTGACAAAAGAGACAGGCTGGAAAACCAACAGGAGGTTTCTGATCAGTCGATTTCTCAGTGTCTCATATTTTCTCTGCTCTCATCTGGTCACTTTAGATTTGCAGGAAACAACTTTTGTACCTTTGCAGTCCCGGTTTGTGAGCCATAGAAGATTTTGACTCCTGACACATGAACCTTCTTGGTCTCTCTGTCGTTCTTCTTTGCAGCTTTGTCAACTTTGTCGTTCTTCTCTTTGCTGGCATCTTTAGAAACGTTTTTCTGAAAGCAGATCAGTGCAGAGATAAATGGAGGGGTTTCCGGTCAAGACAGCGAGACCTTAAGAAGCACTGCAGAGACCGTTTAGAGACTAAAACACATACACAAATTAGAGTAAGGTATGAGTAAGTGCCTCACCTTCTTCAGTAAGAACCAGAGCCCAAAAACAAGCGCAGCAGCCGAGTACAGGTACAACCTGCTGTGCCATAACCACATGAAATAGCTCTCAGTGGGACTGCGGGCATCCTGAGAGACTGGAGGGAGAAAACACATCAAACTGAGTCCTCAGATCCTGAACTGCTTTGATGAAGAAAACAGCCACATCATATATGTTTCTGCCAAACCACAGCTGACTACATGCAACAACAAAACAGAATTAAATCCCAACCTGAAGCTACCTGCGAAAAATAAAACTGGCGAGCAACGCATGCTAGCTAGTAATGCTACCCTCCTTTAGCCAAAACACAGCTTGAAGAGAGTTTTCAGTTGCTTTAAATATTTAAAATAAACTCACCTTTTGAATCCGAGGCCGACACGCTGGAGGCCAAAAGCAATATAAATACGATAAAAGTTGGCATTGCTGCAAGTAACTACTTTAAAGCACACAGTCTTCAGCACCTGAAGCTCTGCGCAACCATATTCTTTGCCGATATGAATGCTGGGAAGTTGAGTTCGGATCGTCCAACGGCTTGAGTTTGTTTGCTTATGGACATTCAGACTTTTTAAAAAGCAGCTGAAGTTAAATTAAACAATGAAATTCATCTTCTTGGATTTAATCTTGAATATTTTACTCATTCATACCTATACCTATAGGTCTCGGTATGCTTTATTTTGAAAGTCTATAGAGGAGGTGGTTCTATTACACTATGTCTATTTTGATTTTGTTGTTGTTTCCAGAAGGATTTTTAATTTGTCATTTTTATTTTAATTCCTTTTAACATTTTGTAAACTGACGCCAGATAAGGGGATCCGGACATTAAACATAAAATTAATGCAATGTCAATTGATATTGAACAAATAACTGCACGTGAAAATTCTGGTAAACTAGCTCGGTTACAAATACCCCTAGTCGTTTTTGTAGGTCGCCCTCTTGTGGTCATATGGAGGAACTGCAATAGACCCATTAAAATATGCTAACGTTCAAATTAATTACAACACTGAGGCTTGAGAAAAGCTGTGAGCTATTTTCTGGTAGTTATGTTAACTTCCGTGATAATGTGACAACTATTATTAGGCGAAATCACTAACGTGCAGAGAAAAGTATGATAATGTAGGAAGAAAGAACTGCAGGTGGCTTTAAATTGAAACGGAATATTTTCTGCCCTCCAGTGGTCACAGCGGCAAACTGCACATAGACATTCGTCAAACTTGCATTAATGCAGGCATGACAGCGGCATTAAGCACGTCCGATTATTCATTTTAAAATAAGACTTACACGTAGTTCAAAACGTTTTTAATACTTAACGCTGTCAATAACAATAAATAATAACAGATTGTGCTGTCAGACAATTAATTATGATGTTATCTCATAACTCTGCAACCATTAATCTAACAGTGCGAAATTTATGTGGCATTTTATTTCGAAAATAATAACAGTTTGAAAAGTTACATTTCATAAATATGTATTTAATTATGCATATATGTATTTATTTAACTTATTAAACGAATAACAATAACGGAAAAAAAAACTGACTCGGAACTGATGTTCGAAGTCACAGTTTCATACCGAACAGCCATTTAGGATACACTCGGAGAATACGGGTGGTGTTGTGATAACGAACGTTTCTTGTCAGCGGCGCTTGCTTCGCAACTGTTTGTGGTAATCGCAAATATGTCGATATTTACGCCAACGAATCAAATCCGGCTGACCAACGTAGCGGTGGTGAGGATGAAGAAAGGCGGGAAGCGATTTGAAATCGCCTGTTACAAGAACAAAGTTATGAGCTGGAGATCAGGAGCGTGAGTACCAGGAGATGTCAACGCCTCCTGTGCCTGACTGCTGTTTTACTTCGTTGTTGCTAGAGGAAACATTGAAAATTCATTTCTCTTCCACTTTAAATCCTCTCGATGGTCGTTACATGCTAAATCAGCCAAAAATGCTCCAAAACGTCATGTTTTCATTGCAGAGAGAAGGACCTGGACGAGGTTTTGCAGACGCACTCTGTTTTCGTCAATGTTTCCAAAGGCCAGGTGGCGAAGAAGGATGACTTAACCAAAGCTTTTGGGACTGACGACCTAACAGAAATCTGTAAACAGGTATAAAACATCCCCATACGTACACATTGTAAGCATAAGCCATGCCATTTACTGCATGTGGGCTTGTTTGTTTTGTTTTTTCTCCTGGAGATCTTGGCCAAAGGAGAGCTCCAGGTGTCAGACAAAGAGAGGCAGACTCAGCTGGAGACCATGTTCCGGGATATAGCTACTATTGTGGCAGAGAAGTGCGTCAACCCTGAAACCAAGAGGCCGTACACAGTCAGTCTGATTGAGCGGGCCATGAAGGACATCCACTACTCTGTCAAGCCCAACAAGAGCACAAAGCAGCAGGTGAGGAGGATACCATGTGTTTCCCTTTCTTGTGTCGTGTTAATAAATGGGCTGGTTCTTATTTAGCATCTTTCTACTTTACCTGAGCACTCAAAGCCCTTTAAACAGATATCTGGAGAGCTCAGAGTAGAGGTGCTGCTCATTCATGTCAAAAGAGCCAGTTTAGATGGTTTGGTCATCTCAGGCCTGCTGGGCACCTCTATTTGGAGGTTTTCTGGGTATGGGTCTGGGTATGTATGTATGGAGACCCTGTGGGGGATGCAGAACCTGCTGCAGAGCTTAAGTTTCTTATCTGGCCTGAGAGCACCTCAGGATCTCCCAGGAGGAACTGGAGGCTTAGCATGGAGCCAACAGCAACTTCAGATGGAAAATAGTGCACGAATGGGTGTATTTTCCTGTAAAGTCATTAAAAATAATGTTAAATATATTAAAAAAATTCTAATTCATCCATCCATTTTCTTTAAAACTGGTTATATATAAGGGTCTTGAGAGAGGTGGCTGGCGTCTACCCCATAGCAATAGGGCATTAGGGCATCCTGGCTAACACAGAGAGACAACCTCAGGCTCTCATATCCACCTACTGCCAATTTTGAATCACCAGTTCCTCTGATAGGCCAAAGACTACGAGATGAATCTAGAGCACTTGGAGAAAACCCACACAGACACAGGAAGAACAAGCAGACCCCACTAGAAAGCTCAAGCCAGGAACCTTCATATTTTTTCAGTAGTTTGAGTTTTGTGTCTAAAACAAATAAATAGATGAGAGTGAATTCAAAGTCTTTTGCCGGTGACAAGAAAACAAAGAGCAACTAAATGTTCGAAGCTCGGTGATCACACATACTCTGCCCCTCTGACTTCAGTTTGTTGGTGTGGAAGTTGTTGCAGTTATAATCTGTGTATTTCAGGCCTTCTCTGCAGTGAACGATGATGCTTTTTTACATCCTTGATAAACAGATGTGCGCTGTTGTTTTCAGGCCCTGGAGGTGATTCGGCAGCTGAAGGAGAGCATGGAGATCCAGAGAGCCCACATGAGGCTGCGGTTGGTGCTGCCAGCCAAAGAGGCCAAGAGGCTGAAGGAGAAGCTGAAGCCGCTCCTGCAGGTCGTGGAGAGTGAGGATTTTGATGAGGAGCTGGAAATGGTGAGCGGCGTTTAATGATATTTGTGGTTGTGACTGAATAATCTCTACTTTCATTCAATAATATGAACAATTCCATGAAGCTCTGCAGATCATATATTATACATATATAATATTATTATCCCTTTATCACTCATTATTTTTCCCGGGTGTGCGTCTGTCAGGTGTGTCTGGTGGATCCCGGCTGCTTCAGGGAGATCGATGAGCTGATCCGCTGTGAGACTAAAGGCCGAGGCTCTCTGGAGGTTCTCAGTCTCAAGGATGTGGAGGAGGGAGATGAGAAACTATAGTAACCCTGCCCGTCAGAACTCTGCACCTTATCCACACTAACACGCTTCATTAGGGCGCACAGACTGCAAACTCATGAAAAAAATCTATGTTTATGGTCTGATTTATCACAATTTCAGCCACTTTCACCCTGTAAGGATTAATTTGACTGAAAGTAGTTATGATTTGCTGAGTGGAATATATTTTGAAAGCAGGTTTGAGAACTTATGCCTGAACTTTAAAGTCGGTGATTATTTCTGATGTTTTCTCTTTTATTTATTCACTTTTTTTAAGTCGATTACTAATTTAGCAGAACGTCTACACAAAGTCGTGTGCCGTGTAGTCGCGCTCAGTATCCCATCCTATTATCTGTGGAT